GGTTGGGTGGGTCAAATAGATTTGGGCTACTTTTGCCACCCCAAATTTAATTCTATGAGTAACATATCCATCAATCATTTCATTCTCTCTAAATAATGAGTCTAGATATCTAAATTGTTTGCATTTTGACACCGCAATCCTGTCTAGTTTCACCTCAACTTTGCCGTTCTCCTACTAGCTAAACTTGCAATGAATGTATTTTGTCTTACTTCTACTTATTCTAAATTTCTTATTCTCTAAAGTGCTTCTCTATAGTTCAAGCCTTTAGTTGACACCCTCATTTGTTTCGTCAATTAACATTATATCATCTGCAAGTAGCATACACCATGTAACCTCATCTTGTATGATATTAGTTAGTTCATCCATAAGTAGGGTAAACAAGGGGCTCAATGCTGATTCCTGGTATAGACTCACTGTTACCAACAACTCCTCTGTATATCTCCAACTCTTCTCACGCTAGTGACAACTACTTCATACATATCCTTTATGGCAATTGTATTAATAAAACATGCTCAGGATAGGGTTATTACAGACGTACTATGTAGGAATATATCATTTCTTGGAGATGACTATGCGATATCTAGGTTTATGGATAGGGGGATAACATTTCTTTGATTGAAGTATCACTGTTTTCTTGTTAGCTGTGATGTCTGGGTTAGGTTATGCGCATTTTGTCTAATCCAGGGGTAACTTGTTACTTCCCTAGTTCAAGTATCAAGTATCAGGAAACGCGCCGCCAAGATATATGCAAATGGGAGAAAATCACCTGGTGTTTGCTGGGATTTGAACTCTGGTCTCAAGAGCCTTTATTACCACTTCATTGATCACTAGGCCGCACCCTTGGGTGCAATTCTATGTTGTTGTTCCAGCATCTTATACGCATTTCTTGCTTTCAGTATCAGCATGAGTTTGATGCAGTGTTGTCAAAGGCGAAAAGCTCTAAAAAGCGCTCTAGGTCTATTTGGGCTTTAAGCGCAAAGTGCACTTAAAGTGTGGGCTTTAGTTAAAAAAGGCGCAATGTTGGAAATAAATAAAAATTTATATGTAATTCAAGAACAAAGTAACAAATTCATTCATAATGTTTCCCTTAGCAGCTAATACACTTATTTCTGATTATAGTTGTTGTTTAGTGCCGCTCGATTCAAGAGAGAACTCATGGGCAATGAGGCGCATGCCTTACCGCCTTGCCTTACACTGAAGCACAACTAAAGCGAGGCGAAGCGCCCTCCTTGAGCTTTTCTGAGCTTCAGGGCTTAAGCGCGCCTTAAATGAGCCTTTGACAACACAGGTCTGATGTGCCGTGGTTATAGTTCACGCTATCATGTTAATTATCATATTTCTGTTTCAACTTTCAGGTACAGCTAACGGTTACTCCAAGAGCAGAAGGTACTCTAAGGATAGTCGGTATAAGATGGAAGCTGTCAGGCTCTGTGGCAGGATTTTGTACTTTTGATTCCGACTTAGTCAGAAAGAAAGTTGTGAAAGGAAACAGGAAATCTAAACGATCTACAATCGACAACCTGAAGTTCTTAGTCATAAAGGTGATTTCTTCCTTTGATGTCTACGCTTTTATTACATGTGATGCAGCCAGTTTAATATCTTTTAGCATTTTTTTTACTTGGATGGCCACATTTACATTTCTATATGACTTGACCGTATGCAGAGTCTACCGAAGCTTGAGGGCGTCATTCATCACCTCCCCGAAACAGTTTTCGTTGGGGATTTGCGGTGTATTACTCTGGAGTTGAAAAATCCATCTAAAATTCCGGTTAAAGTATGGTTCTTCTTTTACAGCATGTAAAGCATTTCCTCATGTCTGAATGTCAGAAAATGTGCCTATGTTTTGTTTTCCCTTAAGTGTGATCAACTAATAAAGATGTAGATTGCACTTCAATAGACATTGGCTTATCTTAGCTGATCTTAGCAGCGCAATTGGTGCTGTTGCATTGGCAGAAAATGGGTCGTGATTCAAAAGGCAGTTTTCAGACCTTCCCTAATATTTGGGCAAAGAAAGCTCATTAGGCAGGATTCCACAGAAGCAGAGGCCTATATTAAATTTGGAAGAGATGCATTGCCTTGCTGTTCTATCTTGGAGGATATTTTACGCGAAACAGTAATTTCCAAATACAGAATCACTGAAACTATAACTAAGGCTGGCAGTGAAGTTTGGAAATGTAAGGGGAGGTTCTCTTGTTCATAGAGACTGTCAGCATTTACAGCTAAAGAAGTAGGAAGCTGAAGAGCAACTCTTGGAAAAAAAAAATTCCTTCGATGCCATCACCTTCATATAAAATTTAACAATATATATTTTCTAAGCCAAGTAGCAGAGTTACCAGCTAATCTACCAAACTGCATAGCTTCAATTGCTATTGTGACCACCTAATATATTTCTAGGTTAAGCACCTGATATGTCTTAATAAGAATCTGCCCTACTACAAGCGAATAGGTTACAGGGTCTGATTCACCAAATTAACGCATAGTCACCGACATCAATGTTTTTAGATACATATAAATTAAGCCACCTGTGTATTCTAAATGTATACATGCATTTTATTGCATGAAAGATGAACTAGCATATATGGTTGTTAAACTAGCAATATCAATTTGGAGCATCATATTGGATTGAGGTTAGAAAAATTTCTAGTTCTAATGATGATAGCTGTAATGTCCTGGCAGAAGTTAAAGATGAAGGTCAGTCCACCAAGATTTCTCCAAATTGGACACAAGAAAGATTTGGAAGTTCAGTTTCCTGCTTGCTTGGAAAGGAAAAATTCAAGACACAGTTCCTTGAGGTCAAAGACTGATAAAGTAACAGATGGCATTTTTCTGTTTCCTGAGGTCAGTGTGGGCTAAAGATGTCAGCCATCTACTTTTTAAGCTGGGATCAGATCCCTATCTTTTATGTCTTTTATTTTGTTTTCTAGGACACAGCAATTGCAGATGGAGCTCCAATCTCATGGCCTCTCTGGCTTAGGGCTGCAGCTCCCGGAAAGATATCCTTACATTTAGCAGTATACTACGAGATGGGAGACATATCAAGTGTTATGACATATCGTACCTTACGCTTGCACTTCAATATAGAGGTTGATACCTGTTATTTGCTAGATATTGATTGTGTAGATTTGTTACTAATGTTGCCAGTTGAGACTAGTATCACAATCTGAGCAAGTATTATTAGATTTACTGTTTTTTAGTCTTCTCAGCTGGTGTGTGCATTGATCAGGAGTATGAGATGCTTTTCCAAAATTCTCTTACAAGTATTTGGAATATTTTCCTTGGTGTGAAGTATCTAATATATCATTTTATAGGTACTACCATCTTTGGATGTTTCTTCCCAAATCAGTCCTCGTCCATCTAGACTGCGGGAGTTCCTTGTCCGAATGGATATTGTCAATAGGTCTAGCTCAAAAGGCTTTCAGGTTCACCAATTGTCATCTGTTGGAAATGAATGGGAGATATCATTGCTCGAACCAACCAAAGTCCTCCCTTCAGATTCTCTACTTGCTGGTCAAGCAATTTCATGGTTTTTCAAGCTCAAGGTTAGAAATGGAGCATTTCCTTGGTTTGTTTACTAATTTGACGCAGTCCAACTTCAGCTTTCCAGATATATCCCCTATCTGATATTGGGATTAATTTTTTTTTAACCTATCAAATAGTTGCTTTTGCTTTATATAATGGAATTCATTTTTGCTAACAGAATTGTAGATCGGTAACTGATGAAGACTCTGTTTCTTCTCTTCGCCCTCTGGAGAAGGCAGACGTCAATTTGCTTCGTGGCAGTGAAGTGCTTTTTGATCTATACAACTCTCCCTTGTCAGAATTTCACCATTATGAAAGAGTACATCAGAGAATGTTGGATCAGGTTCATTCATTATTTTGCTGTGTTCCTCAGTAATTAGGGGAAGTATTTAAATTGTCATCAATACTGATTAAGAATAAATTATTTCATCATCTTTCCTGGCCCTTCACTGTGGTATATATTCCTGGTTCTAGGGCTTGTAGTGGTAGTTGAACTATAAACAGCTGCTAGAGTACAAAATGGACAGGTGGAACTTGGAATGATTGATACTTCTGATTGCTCTGTGGTTCCGAGAAATAAATTTGTCCTATTATTGTATTTCTGAGTTCACTTGGCTTTTATATTTATGATCGGGAAGTGGATGTATAGTCCCTTACTATGCCTTAACGCTGTACTTAAACATTTCTTTTTATTGAATTGGTTAGGAGCATGAAGACACAGTAGACTTTATATTGGTATCTAGATCACAAAGTGAGGAGAATCAATGTGCAAATATTTTCTCACATCACAGTTGTCACTGCAGGCAAGTGTTCTGAGATGAAATGGTAAATATATGTACGCATGCATGTATCTCACTTTTTATGGATATGATCTTGGTTTTTCGTCTTACAGTGTCAGGACCAGTAGCCCAATATGGTGGACAATGGATGGCCCCCGAACTGTGAAACATGACTTTAAGGAACCTTTCTGTGCGATTACACTAAGAATAGTTGTCCATAATTCCTCTGATGATGTTGTGTCCATTCGCTGTAATCCCTCTGATTCTGCAGTCAGCTTCAGCTCATCAGGCAATGCATCTGCAGCTCCTGGAAATGAAGTAGGCTGGCACGATTTGTCACTGTCGAATGACATCAAAATCACATCCGATGTCCTGGGAGCTCGAGTCGTGAAGCCAACGTCGTCTGACACAGTTCCACCATTTATTTGGTCAGCTTCAAGCTCCACTCATTTTGCACTCGAGCCGTTATCTTTTAGGGAAATTCCTGTTGAAATTTGTGTGTTCTCACCCGGCACATTTGATCTATCAAACTATTCGTTGCACTGGAGTTTTTCATCCCCGAGTTATCAAGGGAACAATGGAGACAAATCGAGAGCTTTGTCGGGAACATGTCAGGGACATCCATTCTACATAACAGTGCTTTAACAAGATTGAGAGCTCGGGTTATAGTGTATTTGAGAAGAGGCAATCAGCCTGCAATGATTTTGTAAGTTGTAAATTGTGTTCTTGTATTTACACAGAAATAGAAACGTCACTATGGAACAAAATAAAACAAAATTTTGACTGAGCAGTAGGATACAAATCTAATTTGTTTCAGCCTCTTGGGACCAAATACGGGACCAGCTTGTAATCCACCCATTTTGTGGTTTAAGAATTTGGACGATGAAAATTTAGTTTCTTCTTCTTCTTCTTCTTTGGAAGATGGAAAATTTAGTTTCTTGACACTTGCATACTGTTATTTGTAACTGAGTTTTCATATTTATACTTTGAACAAATTATTATAACTTTTCGCCATGACTACGTTTCATCTCTGTTCAATTTTTTAGTCAACCTACGTGGTTGCTTACTAATATAAAAGGGTTTATGCTTTACACAACTGCTTAAATAAACATGCGTTATCCTTGTAAATGTATCAGCGTTGTGTAGTAAATTTATCATATGGTCATTGTTACACTAAACTTGTTTCAAGTCAAATTACGGACTCCTTTGGTAATTCGCTTCTACAATTAATTAAAACCAACACAAGTTATTCATCTATTGAATAAAGGTTGCGAAATAGGCTACAACATTTATGTGGATTAAATATAAAACCTATACAAATTAAGAATATGTCATAGGGTCCTAGAGAAACTAGCAAGGACACCTAAGAAGTTGCAGACAAGTTTGAGAAAACTCTATAGAATAGAAGTTTAGCTGGTAATTCAAACTCAAGATCAGGATTCTTCTTCACCGAAACTTAAAATCATTTTTCTTGGAGTTAAATCAAAATCCTCTCATTAAAGGTGTATAAAGATCAATAATTTACAATTTTTTAAAGATTAAGCATTAGCTCTTAGATTTTAATTTTTACTTGACACGTAACAAAGGATGTTTGTCATATTTTTTGAGTTCATCGCATCCATTTTCTTGTCTTTGCGATTCAAGAGTCAAAATCTTTGTCTACAACCACTAACTTGAACTAGTGGAGACAATCATTCGTAAGTCTCCACCATAGGTTTAAAACCTCTTGAACTAGTTTAGACATAATCATTAGTAAGTCCGTAATTCCGAAACCTATTGTATGTTTTTTAAACTTGCCTTATTAATTTGTTTTGTAGTTAGCTTTGTTGTACATTCAAACTTCTCTGTAACAAACTCGTATGTTACGATATTTTTTGGCTGCTATAGTGAAGTGCTATTATAGAAAGCATATATTATAACATAATATAAAACTCGATTTCAAGAAAAACTTAGCTTTTATAGTAAATGACTGTTATATAGGGATACTATTAAAGAGAGGTCTGACTGTATATGCGAGGACCGACTTGCTTCTATTACTAGTTGACAACAATATGAAAGATTATGTAAGAAACATTACAATTTTTTTTGATACATTGCATGTGTAATTTAATGGATTTGTTGGTAGTCCGGAAAGGAGTTGGGAAGTTGATATTCCTCTATTGAGAAGGTCCTGTAGAGATTTAATATGATAGGCGCTAAACCTATATTTGTTCCTTTTGCTTCCCATTTCAAGTTGTCTGCAGATGTCACAAAAAAACAGATGAGAAGATGGAGCAGATGTCTAATGTGTCATATTCGAGTGTTGTGGGTATGCTATGGTTTGCACGTGCCCTGACATCTCACATGATGTTCGTGTTGTAAGTAGATACACGACATGTCCTGGTAGAGAACATTGGCAAGCAGTAAAGTGAATCTTGAGATACCTGAAGGGTATTATAGATATGGGCTTGGGTTTTTACAAAGACAAGTAGAATGAATTCATAGTTGGCTATGTTGATTCGAATTATGCAGGGGACTTGGATAAGAGAAGATATCAGACATGTTATGTTTTTACTCTTTTTGGTAGTGTCATCAATTGAAAAGCGATATTGCAGTCTGATGTTGCTTTGTCTATTATAGAGGCCGAGTGTATTGAATTATGAAAGCAATAAAAGAGGTTATTTGGCTACAAGGCTTGGTAAGTGAGCTTGAACTAGCTCACAAGAATATATCATATTCTGTAATAGCTAGAGTGCCATTCACCTTACTAAGAATCAGATGTTCCATGAGCAGAAGAAACATATTAAAGTTGGGCATTATTTTATCCAAAATATTATATCAAAAGAGGTTGTTGGTTTGAGAAAAGTGTCCACACATGATAATCCAGCTGATATGACGAGCAAGGCTGTCCCGACCAACAAGTTTAGGCATTACCTAGAGCTGAGTGGTGTATGCAGTACTTGGTGGAGCCCTTGAAAGGGTTGAGGGCTAGATAGAGAGATATTGTTCATATTGATGAAGAGAATTCAAACCAAGGGAAAGATTTATTAATTGTGTCTTGAATTTATTTTCTTGTATTTTTAGGAAACTCATAGTCCCTATAGGTTTGGGAAACCCATAGTCCCTATAGGTTTGGGAAACCCATTGTTCTAAGAGATTTGGGAAAGAAAAACCTATTGTCCTTGTAGGACTGAGAAAATTATTCTCTTATAGGTTTAGGACAACTTTGGAGCTATATGTAGGGATTCTAAGTGAAAATTCTTTGTACTTTTCTATTTTTCTCATTCATAATGGAAACTTCTCTCTCTTCTGCCTAGAGAATTAGGCTTAGCCGAACCTTGTTAGATTTTGCTGTTGTTTTTCCTTCTCTATTTGTTTTATTTGTTTTCTGGTTTCTATTTTTGTCACGGATCTATTGTCTCTGAGTCGGGGGTCTCCCAGAAACAGCCTCTCTACCCCTTCGGGATAGGGGTAAGGTTTGCGTATACTCTACCCTCCCCAAACCCCACAAGTGGGATTCTACTGAGTTATTATTGTTATTTATTTTATGTATGACTGTGTACTAGTTAACCCACAATCTTCTACAATAATTGATATCAGATCTAGGCTCGAGTTTTTACACATAATCTAGAGTTAAGATGTCTTCATCATTTTCAACAAAGTATGAAGCGGAGAAATTCGATGGAGAATCCAGTTTTAGACAATGGAAGATTAGCATAAATCATTCCTGGTGTTACAAGGGATATGGAAGACAATTGATGAGATTTCCTAAAGAGATGAAAGTGTCGAAGAAGGAAGATCTGAAGGAGAGGGATTTGCATGAGAACTTCATGAGCGTTACAGATAGGTGATAGGTTTTAAATGTTCTTGCCTTATGTTTTGATGATCTAACAAACTTACTGTTAGGAACCAGATAGGGAACCTGCCCTACTCGGACTATATTACAAGCTTAACGAATTCTAGCTAAAGGTGAACTGCTACAGCTTTAAGAGCTAGGAACCAAAACATGGATCTGATACTCTTGTGGTTTTCGCATCGCAGTACAAAGTCAATTGGACACAGCTGGAAACGAAGTGACTGACTGCACTGTTTCTACCGCACTGCACTGTTTCCAGTGCCCACTCATCCTCTAACCAACTAAAGTGCTCACATCATTTCAAGTGATGTGATCAAAGTGTATCCACAATGAGTTTATACAAAACATCACTTGAATATTTCAGTTCTCATTCAAGCTTCTTGCCAAAACAGAGAAATCAATCCTCACAAGCTTGAAAAACAAAGTTGAACGCAACTATAGACCAGTTCCTAAAGATAGCTTATTGTTGTCCTAGTTGAGTTGTAACTTTGTGTTTGTACTTATTGTATCTCCTAAACTGCTTAGCTAGAAGCGTTTGATTAGGAATCCTCTTGTAAATTCATAAACTCCTTGAGTTTATGTTGTGACTAGGTTTAGTCATAAGCAAAAGTCTTTGTAATCGTCTAGTTACAAAGTGGCTTGTGGTGAGAGCATCACAAGTTAGTAAAAGTCTTTGTAACTAGGAAGTCACAAAGTATCTTGTGGTAAGAGTACCACAAGTTAGTTGAGTAAATTCTTTGTAACAGAGTCATTGCAAAGTGGCTTGTAATAGGTCTTTACAAGTTAGTGAAGTTGAAAGCCTACAGGTATAGGTCATGTTTTTTTGATCCCCTTGTGTGAGATTTTTCCACATAAAAATCCTCTGCCTTATTTACGTACTGCTTTATTAGCATTCTCAGTAGAATCTCGTAGAGGACCAGGTACTCTACTGATTGGTGGACTCACACAAACTAACAATTGGTATCAGAGCATGTTCCTCCTATCAGGTTAACACCTAAGTTCAATGGACAATATTATGGGTGGTAAAAAACAAGAATGCATGATTTTATCATGGCTGAGGATTGTGAGTTATGAGATATCATATGCTTTGGTCCTTATGTTCCAACCAAGGTACCAGAGGAACTTCCATTTTCAATGGCAAAAACCAGCAAAGAGTACACTGAAGCAGACAAGAAAGCTGTGGAGAAGAATTTTCGTGCCAAGAAAATTCTAATGTGTGGAATAGGACAGGAAGAGTACAATAGAATCTCCACCTGCGACACTGCCAAGGAGATATGAGAAGCCTTGTAAATAGCTCATGAGGTAACTACACAAGTAAAACAGTCTAAGATTGATATGCTCACTACCGAGTATGAATTCTTTAAAATGAGGGACGATGAATCCATTCAAGATATGCACACAAGATTCACTTCCATCATAAATGAGTTACACTCACTTGGTGAAACTATTCCCAGAAACAAGCTAGTGAGGAAAATCCTCAACTTTCTTCCTAGCTCTTGGGAAAGCAAAGTGAATGCTATTACTGAATCAAAGGACTTACAGGAGCTGACCATAGAAGAGATGATCGGAAACTTGAAGACCTATAAGTTGAAGAGAAATATAGACAGTGAAAGAAGAAAACCAAAGAAGGAAAAGAACCTAATACTTAAAGATGATAACAATGATTCAAGTGAGGAAGACAGTGACATGGCTTACTTAACCAAAATATTTCAGAAGATGGTCATAAGAAATGGAGAAATGCTAAAAAGGGACGACTCTAATAGACCAAAAAACCGTGATCTTTGTTACAAGTGTGGAAAGCGTGGACACTTCATGAAAGACTGTCCTCACTTAAAACAAGAATTCTCCAAGAACTACTATGAGAAAATAGCTAAGACGAACCCAGTTCCCTTCAAGGACTTCAAGAGAAATAGATCCGCTGACAATATGATGAGACATGCTCTTGCAGTATGGGGGGATTCCTCTAGTGAGTCTGAAGATAAACCTGACACCAGTGATAGTTCCATGATGGCAGTTGAAGGCGAGGAGACTGGATATGACTCAACTTTCACTTTGATGGCTCAATCAGATGATGATGAAGATAATGGCAACAAAGAGCTAAATTTAAGGGATGTT